TAGCTGGCGAACGGACCGGGAATGAGATCAACCCAGTCGAAGCCGGTTTGCTGCTTGGGGGTACACTTGTTGTCGATGTTCTCAGGGCAGGTGAAGGCAGGAGCCTTCTTGAACTGTTGGAAAATGTATAAGTAACTGGGTCAGGTGTCGTGGAGATAAAAGCTATCCAAACTTACAGTAGCCTCTACGCCAACCGCAAGGGCGATAAGGGGGATATAGCTCTTCATAGTGAAGGGTTATGCGTCAATATAAACAGTAGAACGATAGACTGGGTATAGTTTATGGCGGTGGGCTGGATGCGGATGGGTATATCGGGCGAACCTTGCGCCTTCAAGTACAATGCCGGCTTAAGATAATGTCGTCTGAACGATTGTGTCGACAATGAAATCCAATGCTGGTTGGAAAAGAAAAGAAGCTTGAGACAAAGAAGCGAATGACCTTGCCGTCGGGTGTTGGATAGAGTAAGGTAAAGGAAATGCCACACCACAAAACGTTTGAACACTACTGACTGACTGAGAAAGAGAAGAGCGGGAACGGAGGAGAGGGTAGGACTCTGTTTATACCAACATGAGGGCATAACATCGGGTCCATGAATCCCCCATGCAAAGGAGAGTCCATGTAACTGTCTGTTCATGGTGGAGAATCCGGCCCAGACAAAGGCCGTGTGCCAGCCAGACCAGCATCCCCTGGTGACTGCATCCACGCCCTGTGTCGTTGGGAACGGGGAGAGCGACCAAACATGGCAGCCAGTGAGGGCGTTGTGAGCGCTAGGGCCCTTTGCTCCTCTGGCGATGTGACTTTTTGGCGAGGGGTGAGGTCAGGGTCAAAGTTCACGAAAACAGTTGTCTCCACATTGAAAATGCCCGACCGATGTTGCGCTGCTGTCTCTTGGTGGCGCGCGGCTCCAGGGGCAGCAGGCAAGGGTGCTGGCAAGCGACAGGGGTGCGCTCGAGATCTGGTCAAGGGGTTGGTTGAAGGCTTTGAAGCTGCCCAGCGATGTGGCCCAATCGGTTACACATTTGGACGTCTAAATAGAAAGGGATTGTCTTATTCTCTGACTGCTGTCCTGTAAAAAGGTCAGTTCAGGCACTGCAATTATAAATGGTTCAGCGTGAGGGGCAAGAAAGAGGCCTGCGGCAAAAGGGCGGATGGCATAAGCATCTCGTTGCCTCTCTGTCGCAGCCCACAGCTTACCGTATACTGTACAACCGGGGAATTCTTCATGTCAGTAGCCGTATTTTCTTTTTTGTGTAATCAGCGGCCATTCTGCCAAACATGAGATAGTGTCCATTTTGTGATGATATTGACTGTTGAGCATGAGCACGAACCCCTTGACGTCCTGTGCCTTCACCGTACGCAGAGTGATTCCAGTAAAAAAAAAAAAAAGGCAGTGATGAGCGTGCGGATGGAACGTTGATGGTGCGGGCAAAATGGGGACTTGCCAAAAGCTTGAAACAGGTGGCTGTCTGCTTCAGGCTGCTCAGCCACGTTCGAACGGCAACGCTACTGCAGGTACGAAGCCATTCCTGCACAATACATTTGGCCTGCAGCTGTCGATTTCCAATTGATCCTTCTCCATTGTTCGACTTCTAGCAGCCCTCAATGCTTCAGCGATGTTCCTGGATTTCCCAGGCTTTCGGCTCTGGGATCGTTGGCTGCCATGGACTGATCACCAAAACTCCACTCAGCCCAAAACGGCTCTGGTTCGTTATTCCCCGCAATGAAGCTTTTCCCAAAACGATGCTCAATCACGGCCCAACTTGCTTGTTCAAGAGTCGACCCTGTTCGCGATTCCAGTAACCGGACATCCGATCTGCCCACGCCGGGAGTAACGGCCGAGTTCTCGATTGAAGAAAAAGGGGGCTTGTAAACGAGTAATCACCTCATCTCCGTCTGCTAAAGATATTGGTCAATGCTCGGAATGACTTCAAAAATACACTCGTTAATTAACATGTCAGCTGAGCCGGTAGTGTGAGTGCTGTCAACATAATAGATCGGTATCTAGCGGGTGTCCGCAGAATCAAAGTGCCGCGTTTCACCGCGCCCGCTGTCAGTCTGTTCAGGGACAGGCGCCAGCAGTTTCATGTTTCAGGTCAGACCAGTCCATCAGAGTCTGGGTTGATGATTTCTGACCAATCAACCTGGTCCGCTTTTCTCGGACCGAGGTCTCCACTGAATGGTTTCCCTGTCCACCATGTCACTGACGTCCAGAAGCATCGTGAACTCAATTTCGCGGAAGCCAAACGACCATATGCACTGCTACACTGACGGTTAACCACGGAGCGTCCTGTGCGCTCTTCACAGTCACGACCTCCGATGGAATAGGGAAGATGGAATCACATTGCAAAAGTACCCACGGACTCATCGAGGTGCCGATTCCCGGTATCTGTTGGCAGACACAGACTGTCAATTCCCATAGTATCACCCGCTTTGACAGCTAGATGGAGTCTGCAACTTCAAGAACAGCTATCACGAGCCCACCTGGCGTCATCAAGAAACGAACAAAGCCATTCAGATCAAGCACTGGTGCCGTTTGGGTCCCAAAATAGGAGCGACCCAGCGAGAAATTCCCCGGTTGACGCTCGCCAAATTCATGGTTCCTGGGCCCACGAGGCGCTGCCGCTGGCGAATCGCCCCGTCAGATCGGGTTGATCGGCAGCCTCCGTTTTTAACAGCCGCCCGTCCCAGCCGTTGAAGGCGTCTAGGAGCCGCTCACAAACGCCGCTTTCATTGTCTACTCAACGCTCAAAATACCCATCACAGACATTCTTCCCGCATGCTGTGAATAACTTCCTGCTAATAGCAAATGGTACGCTGATAGCTTGGTGCCTGGGCACTTCGACAAGAACTGGGCGAACGACCGAGACTTCAATCAAGACAGGACAGGGTGCAAACCCCACAACTCGCTTAGAGCACGCACTGCCAAGAATAACCATCGCCAGGCGTTTCTTTCCCAGTTCACACAGGTGGTGCAACGGTGGAGAGTTATGCCAAGAACACCCCTTGTTGAGTTCCTCAGGGGCTCCTGAGCTTGGTTTCGAGTTGATGCCACCGCATTCGTATCCAACGCTGGAACACACACGAACCAAAGCACTGGCCACTGCAAAATCGTGTGGATAGCCTCGCTTGCGAAGAAGAGACCATCCAGAAGTGGTCCAACAGCGAGTCATTTGAGATGATCCAAGGCTCGAGCCACCAACAGTCAGCTCGAAGCGCAAAGCTATCGTGAGTTGAAGAGGTTCATGATATATGGAGTTTTGTCTTGAAATCCTGCTAACACCGAAGGTTTGATGAAACCAAGGCGGTGATTCCAGCAAGATGGAGGCCTTGCCTCGTGACCACGACTTCGGCATTTCTAGTGTGTCATCATCTCTTGGACTGGGAAGATCACGATCTCTCCTAGTCCAGCTCAGCCCGATATTACCAAGTCAAAGCTCCAAACAAAAACCCGGCGGCCTAAGTGAAACAAGGCAACACCGCACGAACGGCGGGTGCGCTACACAAAGATCCTTTACCATCCTACTTGATATCCAGATACCCATGACAGGATCTTCGTCCTGATGCGCCGGCCCGCTGCCCAGGTCGATCAAATCGTATGTAAACAAAAAGATCAGATCCTTCCTATTTCCTCAACCACTCGTGTATACCTCTTTACACCAGACTTATGGTTCTCGGTCTTGTTTGTATTACTCATCCAAAGCTCCATTTACAGCTCAACTTGCAGGCCGAAGGCGGGCGGCATGGCACGGCACGGCGTAGCCAAATCCAACCATCTGGACTGCTCGAAAAGAGATGAATCGATCGTTCAAATCTTCCACTACCGGCTGTCCAACGTCTGACGGGGGCACAAAATGCGGCACGCACCAGATGACCGCCATGCGACCCGGCATACACAATACAGAACGCACATCACCGCTTTTCAGGTCCCGTTCTGGGTCTTCCTTCCGGCCTGGAAGACGAGTCTATTTCTCGCTTGCACAACATCCAACAACAATTGCCTGCCCGTCCGCCTGGACACCGGCCCGTTTCTGTCTGTTTGAAGTGATATTACACTCGCGCTTGTCTTACCTTGCTTGGCTGGTCTGATAGGTCCCATAATCAGGTTTCCTGGTCGCCTCTAAGGATGGACTAACTGCCCAGTTTACGCGGGTAGGTTTCACCTGACTCTCAGCCAAGTGTTCGGGTTACTGAGGGCTGTCGGCACATGTTCGGCATGCCCTCCGGACGACGAGCATAGACGGTATTCACCGCACCCCACACCCATCAAAGGAGGCAGTTTAACTCTGTTCAGCGGGGAGTAGCATTGTGATCCCGCTGACCCTATAAACCTTGTAGATCTATAGGTATTGAGGCCTTCTACAAGACCTCGAAACGCGTCCCTCATTCGGTTAAGTTTGATGGCTGCAGTCTGGAAACTGGATTAGGCTTACTTAATGCCGGCAATCCTTGTATTGGCATAATCTTGCCTGGGACAGAGGTCGGCTATCAAATAGAACTATCAGTCAAGAAGGCCTGCGCACTCTTATGCTTACCTCCCCACCTCTACCATGTTCAGAAAACCGGCGTGTTTCCCGTTACGGTAGGCCCCTAGCTGTTAGTAAATTGTGTAGAGTTGAGCCCCTGCCATCAGCAAATCCTCCTGTTGAAACTCGCGGATCTCGGTACAAGCCACTCCAAGAAAGGGGGTCGATCAACTCCTAGCAGAATATACTAAAATAACATATCTATATTCCCCAGCGTGGACCCTGATATTTCATTGCCAACGTAGATGGGAAAAAAAGAATTTCGCTGGGAACCACCCAGGTTATACATCCAACACCAGTTTTCCGTACATACAGCATACAGTCCGTTCTTTGTTTTGACACCTGCGCACTGCTTCCTCTTTCCCTACCAACACAACCCCTACCAGTACCTCCTTCCCTTATACTCACCACCCCCATCCTCCGGCTTCCACGGCGGCCCCTTCCCCGCATCTTACCTTCCAACAAACAGCCAAAACTTCCCATATGGCGTAGTGGCTAGCATACCAGACTTTCACCCCTGCTCCTGATTAATCAAAATCAGGAGATATTCGATATACACTTGAAGTCCTGGGTTCAGTTCCCGGTTTGAGAAGTATTCTCTTTTTCTTTTTTATCCTTTTTGAAGGATAGTCGACGGTTATCACTGCTATGTATGTCAAGAGAGAAGAACATGATGACAAGAAATGCCAAGTGAGAAAATGCAAGATCGCGTGTGGCCTTGGTAGTCTCTATATATACTTACTAATCGTAATCTTGCGCGTTTCTTCGAGAGTTAGACAACTCATCCAATCCGAGAATTGAGACTGGTGACATTTGACGTAACTGAAAGGTAAAGCTCATTTTGCAGCTCGATGGTCCACCCTACGTATTGCATATGCCTTTGGGTAGGTAGGTCGGTAACTGAGGCAGGTAGCCAGGTAACTAAGGTAGGCAGATGGATACCTCTCATGAACAAAACTATAAAAAGACATGGATCGATCACACATTCACGACTACAGCAAAAGTGCAGTCGCATGAGTTCAAGCATGGTGTCTATTGTTCATGTTGTAACATCAACTTTAAACCGGGAGCCAAACGCCTCCAACTCAAGCACCCCCCTGCAACCTCCTAATCCTCTCCTCCGCCGCCCTCGCCCTCCTCTCCCTGTCCAACTTCATCTTCTGCTCGGCCGTCAACCCCCTCGTCTCCTCCTCCCTCTGATTCAACGGCGCCCCTCCCAACACCCCCCCCTTCCTAGGCTTACTCTCCTTCACCACCGGCCCCTCCTTCTTCAGCCTCTCTTCCTCTGCCTTTCTTCTCTTTTCCTCCTCCTTCTTCTCCCTTTCCGCTCGTTTATCTGCGTCCTCCTTTTTCAGCGCAACTGAAACATGCGCAGCCTCCCAATCCCACTTTTGCTCGCCCGCCTCTGACCTTGCAACTCGGAAGGCATCCCGCGTGGCACGATCACCGGCGAGGTCGAAGGGTGTTTTCCCTTCCGAATTGAGGATGGTTGGGTCAGCACCAGCACGGGTAATGAGGCCTACTATTACCGCCGCTGAGTTTTGCGAGGCAGCGAAGTGTAGAAGGGTGGGTGTGTGGTGGTTTTGCTGGGTGTCTTTTGGTTGGAAGAGGAAGTTGGCGTCGAGGTTGTTGTTCGTAAGGTACGAAAGTAAGGCAGGGAGTTTTGACCGGCGGATGATGGATTGAATTTGGGTAGTATGGAAAATAGCTGCCTCTTCCTCTTCTGACAGTTTTGGCGCCGGCGGTTTGGACTCGTTCGACTTGGGGGTTTTGGATGGCTCAGCAGCCGATGCTTCTGGCTCGGGCTGGATTTCCTTGACTTTCAGCCTGGTGAGCTCGATAAACGAGCGCATGAGCTCGTTCTGAGTTGCTCTTCTCGTATTGAAAGGGAATCCTCGGATGCGAGGGTCGTTTGTGCGGAGGACTTGACCTTCGTAGGGGCCAAAGAGGGTTCTCCGGTTTGTCATGCCCGTTGCGCGAATGAAGAGGAGATCTGAGGTATCAATCAGGTTCTTCCAGTCTTTCAGGAGGTTTCGGACATCTTCGACCAGAGCTTGCTCGTTGTAACGACGAAGGGAGGAACCAGCTGAATGGGCTGTTCCTTTTGCGTTATCGTTTGCTGACTGAGAGCCACCTTGCTTGCGACGAGTGGTATACCGGTGGAACGTCTTATGAGCCAGTACAACAGCTTCCCTGTTCAGGGGACCTGTGGTGCCGTGCTTGCTCTTTTTCGGTGTGAGTGACACAACCATAGCAGCAAAATGACCACCTCCGATCATACACATGAATATGTGCTGGCCTTTGTAGGTTGCCAGCACAGACTGCGCGTCTTTTGGAGGCTTAGGCATAGAGATAGGCGCAAGCTGCCTCTTCTTGATCGCCTCTACAATGGCATCCTCCTTTTCTAGCTCCTCGGCAGTGAAGAGAGCTCTGTAAATCCCGTAGTATGTCCTTTCTGGTAGCTTGGGGGACTCGAACCATAGCAATGGTGTTTTGCCTGTGCCTCTCTTCTGCTTTGTCTCCTCGTCACCCTCGTCATTTGGTTTGCGCTTGTCCGCCAAAGTAGCCTGCTTCTTCAACAGAGCGGTAAGAGTAGTTTCCTTGCACCCAGTCTCCTGCTCTTCGTCTTCGTTATCCTCGCTTTCGGAGCCCGAAATGCTTTCGTCGAGCTGGTCGACGAGCTTCTCGAACTCGGCCTCAGAGACTGGGTTGAGGCCGTGGAGCTTTTGTTTGAGGTTGTAGTGGTGCAAATCGGTCTTGAGATGCTCTCTCTGATCCTGTACTGTGACGAACGACAAACTGCAGAGGGAGCAAGCTTGTGACCCTAACATATTGTCGGCCGTCGCGGGGCTTGGAGTTTGGACTACGGTTGTTGTTGTATCGTCCTGGACAGACAACCCCCCATTCGCATCCGCATCGGTCTTGAGGGATAGAGTGGTGATAACTTCTGTTGGAAGGTCGTAGAGGTAAAGTGGCCGCCGCAGCAGCTCGGCTTGTGGGCTGGCCATCTCGCGCCTGGTTTCGGGGCGTTTGCGACTAACGATGAGATAGGAGGAACGATTGGATATTTCTTGAAAAGTATTTGGACCGCACTTGGTCAAACACTAGAGAGAGTGTTAATAGAGAGCACGCTCGGTGACACCAGGAATCTATTCTCCCACCTATCCGTAGGTAGTATGCTTCCCTACACGATCTCTAAATCACCACAAAGCTTCACGGATGGTGGCGCGGGGCAACTTTATCGCCCAGTGATACACCGATAAGAGTCATACCGAGCAATACGTCACTCTACAAACCCTAACCCTTATGATGATATCGATCATGGCTAGATTCCCTATCGACCGACAGAACATATACAAAAAGAAAGATTCAAAATTATAACATATGATTCATTTGACAATAAGAATGGACAGAAAAAGGATTGATTGCAAAAAAAAAATTTGGTTTTATTAAGATGGTAAATCACCACTTGGTTCTTACTTGTCTATCTCACCCTGAGAAAGTCCAGACAACTGTGGTTCCGCTTTTTGGTTCAACCTAGTCGAACGAAAAACGAGAAGCGGGCTGTGTGTTGGGAGAAAACTTAGCGAGATCGTGATTACGAGAAAGGCCAGCGAACTCATGAAATACAACATCGATCGCCTGATTTAACTCAACGCTCAGCTGTCTCCAGCGCACCTCTGGTTGGGGGTCAGTAATTTCTTCCGAAGAGATACCCTTCCAGGTTCCACACAACCGAGCAAGAGTCTCGTCATGAGCCTGTGGGGGGTCTCGAACAGTGACGGATTCCTCAAACAGCTGCTTCGACGGCGTCAAACTCGGTCTCGGGGAGTTTTTAACTGGCGGGTACACTACCTCCTCACTCTGGATCCGCTCCTTGCGCCTTCGCCCGGCCCACTCTAACGTGGCATGGCGGATGAACTGAAGGCGCTCGATGTACTCATCCTGCGTCTCACCCCTGAAGCGAGGAAACACCTTGGCCAGGGTAGAGAGATCATTGCGAGGGGAGTGGACACGCTTTTGGTACTCTTTGACAGGGTCGGAAGACACCCAGAATAACTCACCGTGCGGGACATAAGAAGGATGGACAGCGTGCTTTACTCCACGATCAGCCTTGTAAGACCAGTAGGCCAAGATGAAATAAGGGCAGTCAGTGGCAAGAGGCTCGTAGAAATCACGGCACGCCTGGCAGAAGCCGAACCTTGCACCAGTGACCACCTCAGGGTTAGCACATCGAACCCGGGTTCTCGACGTCAACGTACAAGGGGCAGAATGCTCGTATACGTGCGTACACACCGTATAGACCTTGTGCCCAATCTGACACATTTTGATGTTGGCCAGGCAGTGCTAACTTTGTCGTCAAGGTAAAGTCAGTCGAAAATCGAGATGGGGTCTGTAGGTGAGTTACACACGAATGTCGAGGCAAGTCAGTTAATGTGAATTGATGCTGATTTAGTGCCATCGTGACCGGCATTCGCTTTTAAAAACATGAACTGAGGCTATCGAAGTGAAGCACACAATAGTACTGTGTTTCGACAGAAGCTAAACAATTGCTTTGTTCCGGTAATACATCTCTAAAGAGCGCCAGTATCAGGATTACAACTCAAAACTCAAGGAACAAAGAGATCATAATGGCATTTTTCAGGACCGCTGAAACACTTGGATGAGTTGCAAAGAAGTAACACGCAGTGCTGTGATATCGTTGGTCTTTTCGAGTCTCATTGAATGAATGTTTCATATTGCGACATAACAAAAAGAAACAACTTGAGATCCAGCGTGGTCTTCATGATTGCATCCTTGAGAATGGTGAGCATTGGAGAAAGGCTGGTGTTGATGTTTAAAGGCTTACTCATCGGGCCGTTGAAAGCCGAGACGCGATGCCCGCAGCCAAAGGATAATCATGAGGTAATCGTCGGTCAGCAAGTCTCGGCAGGCAACTCCACCACCATCAACCATCATCAGAGACAAAGCATCCCAGAGATAGGGAAATGATGACCTAGAAGCCGAGATATCTAATGCATGAATATATGATCACTTAATCTCACTTAAGCATCGTGCCACGACTTAATCTTTCAACCCAGTGCCTGTCAGCTTCGTCTCGCTTCCATCGAGAAGCCATTCCATCGTCTATATGAGACGGCCTTTTCTCCTGTCCTCAATTTTCATCGCTTTTTTCGCCTTCATCATCACATGCTACAAATCTGAGATTCTTCAGACCTTGTCCATATATATGAGCACTGCTCTTCTTACCTTAACAACCCACCTCTCAAACCTGACCTCCAACTCCAACCTCACCACCCCAATCCACCAACCACCACCACCCTCACCTATGAACACAGCCAAAACAGCCATGTCCCGCACCCTCCACCACGCCAAGATCACCCCTCATCTCACCTCGACCCGGGGTCACTCCGATCACGGCTGGCTCAACACCTACCACTCCTTCTCCTTCGCAAACTGGTACAACCCCTCCTACACCTCCTTCGGCTCCCTCCGCGTCCTCAACGAAGACCGCGTGAAGCCCCAATCCGGCTTCCCCACACACCCCCACCGCGACTTTGAGATCTTCTCCTACATCCTCTCTGGCGAGCT